ACTTGGGGATCATTTGCACTCAAATTGGTGATTCAAAATAAATTCTGATCGACACCACCTACAGTAGGAAAACAGATCAGGGAAAGAGTCTAATCTTCTTTCCCCATATATTAAAATCTCAATCCAGATTACAATGATCTCTGCTGTTGTTATTTTTAAAGGAAAAACAAACCCAGGATAGATTATCATGGTAAATGTTTCGTATGTTCTGGATCTTCATAAACCAGTCTTCTGTGTCATCCAATTCCCACCAAGTAGTGAATTTTTTTCTGTTCAGGTTTTTGACTTGTGGCAAAATTCTTCTCATTTATCAGGGGCAATACTTACTGTTACGCCTATGTCATGGGATCAATTACCATTTGGTACCTAGTCATTTGTACTTGCCCCAAGTCAATGACTAAGTTAGGATAGATGGTCATCCTATGTTCCGACATTTAAAGTGCAACCCTCTACATATATAAGGTAAAGGGACCCTGGACCATTAGGTCCAGTTGTGGCCTACTCTGGGGTTGCGGTGCTCATCTCACTTTATTGGCCAAGGGAGCCGGCATTTGTCCGCAGAAAGCTTCCGGGTCATGTGGCCAGCATGACTAAGCTGCTTCTGGCGAACCAGAGCAGTGCACGGAAACGCCGTTTACCTTCCCGCCGGAGCGGTACCTATTTATCTACTTGCACTTTGACGTGCTTTCAAACTGCTAGGTTGGCAGGAGCAGGGACCGAGCACCGGGCGCCCACCCCGTCATGGGGATTCGAACCGCCGACCTTCTGATCAGCAAGTCCTAGGCTCTGTGGTTTAACCCACAGCGCCACCTGCGTACTCAGATGTAAATTCCTTTACCTCCCACATAAGCGTACCCAGAATTCCAGCCTGAATTCAGGGGATTTCCTTTGTTGTGAATTCAGATCTCAGCACACTGTTTGCTTATGCAAGTTCCATTAATTTCAATAAATCTTGAAACTAAAGTCCTTTACAAATCAAACTCTGTTTTGAAGCCAAAAAAGCAAATAAAAATATATTTTAGCAAAAAAGCAACCACTAACACAGTATGATGCTCTGTAAAGCAAGCAAAGAATGACTGCATTTGGATGCCTTTTAAAATCTATGCAGAAGATTTGACCGAAATGAGAAAGCAAATAGCATGTCACTTACAATTGGATATAGATTAATTTCCAGAAGCACCCCTGTACACAGATGGGGCAAACTGATTAATTTATACCAATTATACATATGATTCACCAACCAAACTTCAGTGCTAAAAACAGGTTTTAAAGTTGGCACCTCCCACCCACATACCTCATTGCTAATAGCATCCAGATAAATTCATTCTATTTCCATACAAACAGGATCCCTTCATTTCTTCCTTGCCAAGCTTACTGCTGTTAAAACAGACTTTGGAGGCTACTTCCTCATTTACTGCAGAACTGCCAGGCTATGTTCACTTTTTACCCTGTAAAAATGTGCAGGCATCCGCATGACATAGCCATCATAATGTTCTGCTCCAACATCTTCCCTAATCAGACTCAGGAAATACGTTTAATTTTTTATTTTTAAAAAAACAACCACAGCAACCCACAATAGCTGGTTTCCACAGGTGTAGATGACCCATCACATTTCCTTCTGTGTATCTCCCTGCTCCCTCTCAACTCTGTGCAATTAGCATTACTTTTCCAAATAACATTGCTTTTAAAGATTTTTAGAACATGCGAATAGCCCTGCTGGATCAGGCCAGTGGCCCATCCACTCCAGCATCCTGTTCTCACAGTGGCCAACAAGATGCCAATGGAAAGTCTGTAAAGCAAGGTCTGTAAGCAGGACCTGAGCACATCAGCACTCTCCCTATCTTGAAATTAGGGACGGGGGCATGATTGGGAATGGATAAAGGGGCAGCATGGTCCCAATGAAAATTCAACCCACCTCATCATTTGAGCCTGTGGGAAACGGGGCAGATCACATGGATTTGGAAGAACAGCCGCTAATCCACTTCTAGTTTTTTTTTAATAAAATATTTATTAAAGATTTTAGACATTATAATCACCGAACACATATAAAACCATCACCAGAATACAATAAACAAAGAAAGACACACAAAAAAGAAAAGATTAACACATAATACAAAAAGCATACCACAACAAAATCAAATAGTTAATAACCATATTTTCTTCACTTTTTGGACTTCCTCACATCTCTTGTTCCTGCGTTCCTAATTTATAAAATTTTAAACAGCAATTTATCACCTTGTTTCGATTCTTATTTTGTAATTTTCCAATATTGTGTCTCTGACTTTAAATACTTTTATCAAGAGCTTAAATACTTAATTTAGACATAATATTAATCCAAAATTTGTCTTTTTCTCAAATTTCACCTATTCTCATGTTCCTTTCAACTAGCTTGCTGATGCCATGTGGTTTTCAATCTTGCATCCTTCTTAGCACTCATACAATTTACAATGTTTTTGTAAATAGTCCTTAAATTTCTTCCAATCCTCTTCCACTGCTTCTTCTCCCAGGTCCCGGATTCTGCCAGTCATTTCTGCTAATTCCATATAGTCTATCAGTTGCGTCTGCCATTCTTCCAGCGTGGACAAATCTTGGGTTTTCCAATGTTTGGCAATAAGTATCCTTGCTGCTGTTGTTGCATACATAAAGAATGTTCGGTCCTTCTTTAACACCCTCTGGCCAACAATGCCCAAAAGGAAGGCCTCTGGTTTCTTAGGGAAGGTATACTTAAATACCTTTTTCAACTCATTATATATCATTTCCCAGAAAGCCTTGACCCTAGGGCAAGTCCACCAGAGGTGAAAGAACGTTCCTTCAGTTTCTTTACATTTCCAACATTTATTGTCAGGCAAGTGATATATTTTTGCAAGCTTGACTGGGGTCATGTACCACCTATATATCATTTTCATAATATTTTCTTTTAAGGCATTACATGCCGTGAACTTCACACCGGTGGTCCATAACCTTTCCCAGTCAGCAAACATGATATTGTACCCAATGTCCTGTGCCCATTTTATCATAGCTGATTTAACCGTTTCATCTTGTGTATTCCATTTTAACAGCAAGTTGTACATTTTTGAAAGTACCTTGGTCTTAGGTTCTAACAGTTCTGTTTCTAACTTCGATTTTTCCACCTGGAATCCTATCTTTTTATCCGAATTAAAAACCTCTTTAATCTGAGCATAATGTAGCCAATCTCGCACTTTATCTTTTAATTTCTCCAAACTCTGCAACCTCCAAGTATCTCCATCCTTTTCTAATATTTCCCAATATTTCGGCCATTTGGCCTCCATATTGAGTCTTTTCCGGGCCTTGGCTTCCATTGGTGACAACCACCTTGGGGTCTTGTTTTCTAATAAGTCTTTGTATTTTGTCCAGACGTTAAACACTGCTTTCCTGACAATATGGTTCTTGAAAGCCTTATGACTTTTAACCTTGTCGTACCACTAATCCACTTCTAGTTTAAAGAAGAACAATGACTGGGTGCTGCTAAATCATCCACCTCTGGAAACACCAAGAGAGACCTCTGTAGCAGAACAAGGAAGTGCTATGTTACAACAGCAGGAAATTCTGCTAAATTTAGGCCTGAAGCTATGAAAATGTTAAGTAAATTGAAAATTAACATCTTGGAATTACCCTACCTTTTGAGATATATTTGCCCCACTATCAATAAGGGAAGCTTTTAATGTTTAATAGGTTATTGTATTTTAGTGTTCTGTTAGAAGCCACCCAGAGTGGCTGGGGAAACCCAGCCAGATGGGCGGGGTATAAATAATAAATTATTATTATATTATTATAAAGAACTGCAGCCATGTTTCACAGAGAATAATGCACACACACAAAAAGCCCGCAGGCAAGATTCTGAACTAATACTGTCTGGTCTTGGTGACATATAGGGTACTAAGACCCCATGATGCATAGGATTGCACTGTAAAAGAGATACTTTAACCCAACCCTTCTCCAAACAGCCTGCATATACATTCTGATTTGTTTGCACAACAGATATATTCTGTTAATTGCACATCCATGCTGATCTGCTTGTGCAGAGATTATACAACTCCCCATCCTATGATTGTTACTTCCCACTTTATAGTGCATTTTATGTCATTTTTCTTACTGCAAAAAGCCCATTTTTTATTTCCAAAAAGCTTTATCAGAACAGGGGACAATAAGCAAATGCCTGACATAAATAGAACATCAGTGTGTGGATGTACAAGGAAGACTAAACCTTTACTGTAGTGGATACAATAAAGGTTTCTCCAGTCCATCACCAGGCCAACAAGGACAACTAAGTCTCAGCTTCAGCTGATCTAGAAATCCTAAAAGGGGATTTAGTCAAATTCAAGGAGGATAAGGTTATTAATGACTGCTAATCATGACTATATGCCACTTCCAGAATTGGAGGCAGCATCCTTGTTGGAGCATGTTGTTGACTGCTGTGGTAAGTGGGATACTGTACTGGGCTATACTCACTGACCTGGGAGTAAGCACTATTGAATTTAATGGAGATTTATAGGGCAGCACTGTAAGGACGCTGCCAATATCGTCATACAAATCTCCTTAGCTAAAAGGGAAACCATCACTATGTGCTCGAAACCAATGGATTGTTGTACTTCTCGAAAAGAGGTCATACAATGCGTCTGCAGCGTATTTGCATATCCACGTTCTGCTTTTGACACGCACACATATTATATAGACTATAGAGCAACTCATTGAGGAAACTCGAATTTCCCCATCCTACTCTGTTTCCTGAGGTTAACATCCCACTCCAATCCCTTCCCCTCCCTCATCGGTTTTAATGGAAGTTTTTCCCCACCCCAGCCCCCGCAAAAAAAAGAAAGAAAAACCTCAATTTACCATTTTCAAAATGGCTAATTATGAAATGACCATACCATGAACTGGCTTGGCATGAAGCTAAGGGCGCAACAGAGACCCTTCCCCTAAACAAACGAAACGCCGAACTGCGCAGGCGCCCAGAGGAAGTGAGCGGCGGCGCCTGCCTCTCTGGCTCCCCCACAAAACAATGGCCGCTGAGGGTGCGCATGCGTAGTGTTGCTCTGGCTCCCCTCTCCCTCAGCCTCTACAAAGCAATGGCTGCCTGCGCGCGTCTAGGCCTGGCGTGGTAGGCCTCCGCTTCACTTGGGCTGCGCGGCGGAGGTGCTGTTTCGTGTGGTTCCGAGTCGTCAGAATGCCGCAGAAACCCGGGGAGGAGGACGAGGAGAGAGGGGCAGGAGAGGCCTTGGGGCGCCTGCGCTCGGTGAACACTCGGGAACCTTGCCAGGTCATTTTCTGTAACCGCAGCCCCCGCCTGGTCAGCCCCGTCTGGCTGGACTTCGAGGGGAAGCCGCGCTCCTATCCGAGCCTGAAGCCCGGCACGGGCCGACGGATGCACAGCTACCTGGGTGGGTATTATGACGGGGAGAAGAAGGGCGACGGGGGCGGCTCAGGAAAGCATCGCCGCTGCTTCGGTGCCTGAAGGTTAGGCAGGCAGATATTCAACAGGTGGAGCTTCCTGGCACGAACCTTCCAGCGAAACCTGCGCCTGCAGCCGGGCTTCTGCTCCCTCTTCCCTCAGACGTTAGAAGGGCCTCCGCCGTGCGAGGAGCCGGGAGCGGAAGGGCCCGGGGTAGGGTTAGAAAGTGGGGTGGCGGGTGCAGGAATTGGGGGGACACCAGAGTGGGGTGGTTTGGCCACGTTGCCTCTGGAGAAGGAGGCCTGGACTGCCTCGAAGGCAGTGGTTTGGATGGCCGCTCCTGTGTGCAGAGGAGCGCAGCTGGGTGGATCTCTGAAGACCTCCTTTCGGCCCCAGGAAAGTGGTGGGAGCAGCTGTGAAGGGGATTCGGCACCTTCCAACTGATCCAGGGTGCGGCTGCCAGATTGGGGACTGCGAGCCTGCATTGGCTCCCAATACTGTACATTTCCGAGCAAAGTGTTGGTGTTGTTGACCTTTAAAGCCCTGAACGGCCTCAACCCCTGGATCCCTTAAGGAGCGTCTGCAACCCCATGTCCACCCCAGACACCGAGGTCCAGCTCCAAGGGCCTTCTGACAGTTCCCGCAATGCGAGAAGTGAAGTTACAGAGAACCACGCAAAAGGCCTTTTTGGTAGTCACAGTCGCCCTGTGGAACCCATTCCCTTCATATGTCAAAGAGATAAACAATTATATGACCTTCCTTAGACATCTGAAGGCAGCCCTGTATGGGGAAGTTTTTAATGCTTGGTGTTTAGCTGTGCTTTTATATTAGGTTGGAAGCTGACCACAGGGACTCGGACAACCCAGTCAGATGGGATATAAATTATTATTATTATTATTATTATTATTATTATTATTATTAGGAATACTGTATCCCTGTGCAGCTGCTCATTTGTTTTTCTTTAAACCCAGTACTGTATAGCCTTTTCTGCATTCTTTTTGCAACTTTCATACACAGACATAAGTTTCAGTGAACCACATTTGACTCATCAGTAGTTGCATACCATTTGGAATCAGTCTGTAAACATTGCTGAGCTGTTGAGCTGCTTATTTGTTTGTTTTTAAAATTTGTTTATTAAATTTCTATACTGCCCTTCTTTTCTGGCTTCTCGTGGGCATCTGGTTGGCCACTGTGAGAACAGAATGCTGGACTAGATGGGCCTTTGGCCTGATCCAGCAGGGCTCTTTTTATGCTCTTATGCCCTAACTTCATTTGTGATTTGTTTTCTAGAACATCTTTGGCTGTTCAGAGATGCTGGGACAGATGATAGTCTTCTTGTCAACCAAGCAGAGCTGTTTGTGGCTACCCGCAATATGAATGGGCAGCCTGTATTTGCAAATATTACACTACCAGGTAAAAATCCAATTATAATACTAATGTCTTTATCTCTTTACACTGTGAATAATGTTGTGCAATTATAGTCAGATTCCCATTTGACTAAATAGTAATCAAGTAAAATGTCTGATTATGTTTATTTGTAGCAGTGTGACACCCTCAAAACAGTCCTTCCCACCTACCTAAGGTTCATTTCAGATACTCCCAATTCTGTCCGGTTACAAATAATTTTAAATCATTTGATCTTAACCATAAGAAAAGCCAGTAATGGGGCATTTCAGAAATTAAAAAGTGATGTTTCTCAAACAGTGTATTCCAGTTGCTGCTATTAAAAGTTACTTGTATAGTTTCTCATTCTGTGCCTTCATAATGCTTCATGTTTGTATAGTACAGGAGTAGGCCTTCCAGATGTTATTGGAGTACAGTTACCATTAGCCCCAGCTGGCATGGCCAGTGAGGATGGGAATTGTAGTCCAGTGACATCTGTAGGGCCACAGTTTCCCATCTCTGGTCTATCAGATTAAGAAAAACATGAATTGTATTTCTTTTTCTTACTGATTAGCAAAACATGGTATTCCGGTATTTGTGATCCATGCCTCAATATCTTCAGCATGACATTTAAAATCTCACTTTACCATCTCTCTGCAGTGTACACTCTGAAGGAAAGATGTCTCCAAGTTGTCCGTGCTTTAGTAAAACCAGTGGACTACAGGAAATTAGACATTGTTCGGTCACTATATGAAGATTTAGAAGATCATCCAGATATTAGGAAGGATCTTCAGCGGCTTTCTCTGGAAACAAATGATAGGCTAAGGAATAGAGTTGGAGGGTCATCAGTGGAAAACTACTCTTACTAATAAATTGTTGGGTATAAGAGGCATTAACTGCTGTACGAACTGAAAAGACATTTACATTCCATAGTGTTTTAGGAAGCAGACATTGCTTTGGTTTAGAACTTGTAACTTCATAACTTAAAGACAAAGCCATGGGACAATGAGGCAGAGTGGTAGAATGCTGCAGCTGAAAATACTCAACAAAATCCTGTCCTGGGAAAACCTATACAAATTGTATTTTACATTAGACCAAATACAAACACATATGTCAGTTGATAGAAGATTAGATTGGCAAAAGCCGTTTCATGTGATTTTCCACTTATTTAAAATATCATTTTATTATATATGTGTCTAGAAAACACCCTGTATGTGTGGTCTTTGGAATTTGGGCAACTTTAATTTAATTATCATACCAAATGATAAATTATCTTTAAACTGCAATTTGGTCTCCCTCCCTCCCACCCAATAATTCAGATTGAATACTGTAAATTAGAACTCTCTTGATTTACTTTTTCTTGTGCCAGCGGTTTCCTACAGGTCATTATTTCCTATAGTGGACCAACATACTTCCAATGTGCAGGAACTGCACTCTGTCACACATTTGCCCTATGTTTGTCTATGCTGTTATGGGAATTTTGGTGTGATGGGAGCTACTACCATTCCCACTTCAGCTAGAGAAAGAGCCTGGCAGCTCTGTGGTGCAGGCAAAGTTTTTTCTCAGATCACAATTTCACCCTCAGTCAAAGCTTGCTATCGCATTGAAGGTGAATGTTGTGAGTATGAAAAGAATATGCTGTCTCTTAGAGGTTCCAATAAATAATCCATCAAACTCATTCTTTGCTACTCTTTTTTTAGAACACTCCCCAAGCTATATATTGCCTTCTTAAAAATTATCTGCAAAATTTTGAGGCAACAGTTAGGAAGCTGACTACTTTAGAACGTATTTTTGTTTTGAGCTACACAGATGATCAGTGGAACACTATTTTCCTATTTTCCAATATCCTGTGTTTGCAACTATTAAATTTTTTTGGTTTTGGGTGTCAAGCCAACATTTTTACCAGTTGATCTTGTACAGTTATTTCCAAGTATCTTAATAGGACTACTGTGAAATGAATTTGTTGAAGACATTACAGTGTACTGAATGTGTTGTAAATTGTTACCTTTTGTAAAGTCACTGGTTTGTGATGTAGGTAGGTGTGTACTAATTTTTTTGTATACTTTGTAAATTTCTTTCTAAAAAGTTAAAGCTTGAGAGATTTCTGTATATATGATAAATCTGTACTTTTGATGTTGCCAGACAAATATGTGCACAAAACCAGAACTTTCCCTTAAAAGTTCTGCAAGAGGAGGGAAGAGAAAGGTTTACCCTTCACAGAGCTACAGTTCCCAGCATCCTTAACAGACCTACGGTTCCTGGGATTCTTTGGGGGATTCTGTGTGTTCTTCCAGGTCTAAAGGAAGAATCAAAAATGGCAAAATGAAGAAGAAAGTCTGTGAATTCCATGCAAGATAGATTGCAGTAGCTAAGCTGTCAGTTTTGTATCTGAATTTTTGAACATGCTGGGGCACATTTGGAGCATTGTTAGATTTATATGGTTCTTTGTTTCTGATAAATACCTAGTGAGAAGATCAGCTGCCCAGACCAGATTATTAGAATTGCAATTTTGATATTTAAGCATTGCTTTTAATATGTATTCAGCTATTGCTCAGCATTCCATACAATGCCATTTCATGTATTATTATTTTTTAACCTATGAGGCATTAAAGCGGTTTTCCCCCTTAATTGCAGCACTATTATTTCCCCCATTCTTTACTTTGTCTGGTGCTTTATTATATGTAAGCAATGGTGGCAGCCATTATGTTAATAAAATATACTAGGATGCATGCCTGTTCTTAAAGTTCATGTGTGACTCTCAGGTTCATTTCATATACGGTGTTACCTCGGGTTAAGAACTTAATTCGTTCTGGAGGTCTGTTCTTAACATGAAACGGTTCTTAACCTGAAGTACCACTTTAGCTAATGGGGCTGCCACGCCGCCACTGCGCAATTTCTGTTCTCATCCTGAAGCAAAGTTCTTAACCCGAGGTACTATTTCTGGGTTAGCAGAGTCTGTAACCTGAAGCGTCTGTAACCCGAGGTACCACTGTATTTTGTTTTGTTGGTGGTAATGTGTTACTCCCTTTTCAATGTCTTATTTAGCAATGATTCCCCCCTTAGAATAATAAAACTGTAGAGTTGGAAGGGACCATGAGGGTTATCTAGTCCAGCCCCCCTGCAGTGTAGGAATCTTTTGTCCAACATGGGGCTTGGAACGCATGACCCTAAGATTAAGAGTTTCATGGTCTGCCAACTGCCAGAAATGACCAAGAGGAAGAGGAGCTTCTTTTTCTTAACCAATGTTTCAATGTTGATTGCCTGTGGAACAGATGGATTTTTAAATGTAGGAGTCATTTCCCCCTTTTGCTTTGCTATTTTCTTTTCTTAAAACAGTGCAGGCTTGAGAGTCCTACACTTTAGGCTGGTATGCTTGTTATCTTAAACATTACATGGGTATCTAAAATGGAATTGCTACAATCCTAATCCCACTTCCCCAGGAGTAAGCCACATTGAATTCAATAGCACTTACTTCAGAGATGGCATGATTAGGACTGTGCTATCTTTGACCACAATAAATATTGATGGATGGTTGCTGTTAGTCTGGAATCTCTCTCCTTTTTAAAAAAGAAATCTCAGACGAAGATCCTTGTGTATAAGCAAGAATTAGGTTAAAATCAGCAATATTTACATTTACTATTCACAGCCGAGCACTCCTAACATGTGGTTCTTGATGCTGGAGAAGGAAAAATATGTAAGTGATTCAGTATTAGATTATGTACAATATTAGAATATCCTATTTGGAATATTTTTCATAGAATATTTTAATGGCACACAATTTATGTTTCTGTATTTTTGTAATCAGAAGTGTGAAAGTTTTACATGCAGAAGCAAACGGTGTATTATGATGGATTTACTAAATCAGGGCCAGTCCTACCATTAGACAGTGGGGCGGCTGCCTCAGGCAGCAGAAGGAGAGGAATGGCACGGAGGTGTCGGTGGGCAGAGCTATATGTACCACATGCATCCTAACCAAGCTAACCTGCTGTCCTCAGCTGTAGTGGAGGATAGTGGCCTGTCACTTGTGGTGAAGATTAAATTACAAATCAGGTTGACTGGTACATGGGAAGGGATGGGGTGCAAGGTTGCCATCTTGTCCTTCAGCCAAGTAAACAAAATGTATTGGGACTAGTCCTGAATACACCAGAATGGATAGGTGAACATCTTAGGACAAGACTTCTTCATTCTAATACCATACCTTTTAATTTGTGTTCCTCGGTTTATATGCTTGTTTTGACCATTGCATCTAATGATGGGCTTCATATTGTAAAAAAAAAAGGGGGGGCTTGCTACAATAACAGCGCAATCCTATGCATGCCTATGCAGAAGTAAACCCCATTGGGTTGAATGAGGCCTGCTCTAGCAACGTAGAGAGGGCTGCAGTCTAAATTGTTTTCCTAGCAGCTGGTTCTTTTTCTATTTTTTCTCTCGCCTTTCTGGTGCCACCCTTTTGCTGCTTCTTGCTGAAAAGTTGGGGGAATGTTACTTGCATAGCTTTCCTTCTCCACAATTCAATCGACTAGTCACTACTGTTTTCTGTCCTATATTTTCCCCATTTTATGTTTAAAAAAAGAAATGAAAAGATTGCACACTTCAGTTTAGACGCTAATAATAATAATAATAATAATAATAATAATAATAATAATAATAATATACCCCATCCGTCTGGCTGGGTGTCCCCAGCCAAGTTCAAGATTCGCCCATCCTAGCTTCCCATCCTAACTCCTTCAACTCACAACCAGTTGATTGTTTCCGGGAGCTAAGTTTTTCGCCAGAATACTGTAATTTGCTCGTCTATTCACAATCGTGCACCTCCTTCCTTCCCTATGTATTTTATTTATTAACCTTTCCTTTTTAAAAACCACACATGCCCTGAAGCCAGGGAAGTCGAGGCTCCAGCGAGATCAGCCCCTTCCCTTGTTTTTTACTGCTGCGCACCGATCGGCTGGGAAAAATCAGGTGCGAGCCGGTTCCTAAAGAGTCCGGCCGCGGGAGCGCAAAGTGGGGAAAAGCGCGCAACCCTCGAAGAAGGGAGGCGAGCCAGTCTCGCCCTGACGTCAGTGAGAGAACTCCCCGGCGTCGGGAAACGGGGCAGGACAGGGCGGAGTCTGAGAGTCAAAAATAAAGCCGCTGACAAGTTTTGTGAAGCGAGGTGTGGCTCCTTCAGACGGGGAGGAGACCAGGCTTGCTGGCTGGAGTCAAGGAGAAAAAAGAAACCCATTTCCTTCCTCCTTCAGGCTTTTGGGTGGACAGCCGTCCATGGCCAAAGGAGAAGAGAGGGGAATTCCCGCGGCTGTGACACAGCAGGAGAAAGACATGGCCCTGCAGAAGCAGCGGCAGCCGCCGCCGCAATATCCCTCGACGCCGTTTTCCTTGGGCAGTTCTGCTGCGCAGTCTCCTTACATCCACAGCATGCCCGCCTGGGTGCTGGAGGATTTCTGCCAGAAGATGGACTGCCTCAACGACTACGACTGGATGCGCTTTGGTGAGCCCGGGATCTCGTCGCCTGGCGGGTGGGGGAGCAGCAGCGCCGGGTTTGGGGGTCCCAGGGCAACTTTTTTGGCCTGTCGGATTTTGTGGGACTTCAGCTCCCATCGGCGGGAGCAAGTTCAGGGATGTGGCCCAGTAAGAGCAGTGGGGGGGGGGATCACACCCGGAGCCCCCGGTGGTGGAGGGAGTACTGGTTTTAAGGAGATAGATAGACGGTTAGATCTATGACAAGCACAGGTGTCCCTATGTTTTAGCTGAACCCTGAATCAGCTCTATCCCAGGGACCCTTCTCCTCCCAAAAGCCACAGCTTTGATAGCACCGGTAGAGTTCACAAGCTGCTGGGTCTGATTCAAGGCTTGTGGACTCTACCGGTGCTATGAAACTTGTTGCTTCTTGGATAAAAAAGGGTCCCAGGGATAGTTGATTCAGGGTTCAGCTAAAACATAGGGACACCTGCACTTGTCATATGGAAGGTGAAAGGACAGCGCTTGCCAATAGGGGAACCTGTGGCAGCCCTTCATATTTCACTGAAGCACTTCTGTCCGGCACTTAAAAACTCCACACATCATACAGGCCCCAGATTTATGGATTCAACTGTGCACTGTCACATTAAACTCTGTAATCAAACGTTAGGATAGACATTGGTTTATTTAGCTTTCCAAAGCATTAGAGCAGATTACGAGGCGACTGATAAATCATTTTTTTTCAAATAAGTACATCCATTTAAAATATAACTTGAAAGCACTGTTAAAACATCTTCTGGCAAAATAATTCATCTGAAGCATTTTTAAAGCTATAGTGCATTTATCCAGCTTGTCAAGTCCTTCCATGCTCTGTTCCTGCCCTCTATATGCAATTCTTACTGCTCTTGCCCTGCACCTGAACATTACTGCTAAACAGCACCTATTGGTGGTCAGTGTCCTGTGTTTTAGTACTTCCCAATCCCTGGCATCTCCAGGTAGAGCTGGGAAAGGTTCTGTCTTGCCTGAAATCCTGGAGAGCTGTCAATCAGTATATACTGACAGGTGTGACGGATAGACGGCACTGGGCTAGATGGAGTGATGGGCTTACTTGGTGTGAAGCCACTTTTTCTTGCTGGTGGTGGAGGAAGGGATATTGGTGTGGAAAAGATGGATACAGAGACAGCTTCATAGAACTGTAGTGTTGGAAGGGACCATGAGGGTCATCTAGTCCAACCCCCGCAATGCAGGAATCTTTTGCCCAATGTAAGGCTTAAACCCACAACCCTGAGATAAAGAGTCTCATGCTCTACTGACTGAGCCACACTTTCCTCATCCCACTCTCCTAAGACTAGGAACTCAGGGTCATCCAATGGAAATTATAGGCAGTAGATTCAGGACAGATGAGAGAAAATACTACTTCTTTCCACAACACATAAGTAAATATATGGATCTTCTGCCCCAAGACTATTACACCTTTAAAATATTAGACACAGTGGTGTCTAGTACAGGTAGAATAAAGTCTTTGAACACCAGCTGCTGGGGAGTAACAATGTGAGAGATGTGACCGTAAGTCTTTTTTATGGGCTTCCTGGAAGTGTCTGGCTGACCATCAAAGGAAGTATAATGCAGAACTTGAGAGACCCTTGACACTGTTGTGCAATATTGCGAAGGAGCACTGATGTAATCTAATGCTGACAGTCTGCTCTGGCTAAACTATATTATTTATCACATGCCCTGCACCCTAAGGTCCTGGGGCGGGTTACAGCAATTAAAAGACAGTGTTAAAAACCATTCAGAAAACTTATAATAACAGAAATAAGTTGGGTCCTAAAAATATTGTTATGTGCCACGCCAATCTCTGAGCAGTGTGAGATTCCAGGGGCACCAGGCACACTTGCTAGGGTCTGTTCTTTCTTTTGGAAGTGAGACACAGCGGAGACTGTGGTGTCTTTATGATACATGGTTTATTTGCACCTATATACAACCTGAGTCTAGATGGAGGGAGCACAGAGCATTCACATTCCAAGAGGTTTGGGCTTTTTCCATAGCCACAGCAGCTTTCGTCACCAACCATTTCTCTGCCTTTGCCCCCCCCCCATCCCACTGCTTACTAACTCCATTGCATAACTCGGGCTTACTGTCTAAACCCTTTGCTAACCTAAGCTCTAGTTTTT